GAAAACGGTCGGAAGTTGGCGCTCGCGCCTGCCCCCTCCTAAATCCCCGCAATAAATTACGATTACCCTGCGTTATTGGAGGATGCAGATTGTGATCTTTGAAAAGAATACCCCCACCGAGCGGCCCAAGGGCTGCTCCTACTACAGTTTGCCGTCTACTTAGAAAGATAGGGCTTCGCGTTTGAAATATGACTAGCCCAGCGGCGGACAACTATAAGCCTCGTTACAGAGCGGCATTAACCTACATCCCGTATTCCCCGATATAAATTTTAACGATGATCTATGAAGAATATTACCCAGATTCGTCTCAAGCCAGTGGTGAACTAATAATTCCACAGGAATTCCAACCAACTACCGAGGAGTTTTGAGAAGGGGTCTACTGTAGCCAAAGCCAATAAAATAATTAGGTTCCCCTATGTTAAAATACTAGGATCAGTGGTGAACTAATAATTCTACAGGAATCCCAACTAACTACCGAAGAATTCTGAGAAGGGGTCTACTGTAGCCAAAGCCCTTTAACCCAATCATAATTGCAATAAAATAATTAGGTTCCCCTATGTTAAAATACTAGGATTTAATGTTTTTTTTTTAACTTTGCATCTTTCTCAAAGTCTCAAAGCTTTCTAAAAGTTCCAAAGATGTCTAATAGATTACATGGTCTATGGGGATGTCCAGCTATGGAAGCAAGGAGGATATTATCCCCATTAGCATTTGAGGCACCAAAATCTTTTTAAATGTATTTACGAGAAGGGAATTAAAAAATATATATTATAGGTTTCTTCTAAATGTTTAATGTGAACTTGGAAACAAGAGGTGCGAAACTTTCTGCTTTCCAGACCAACATTTTTTATTATTTGGTAGGGCACCATTGACAAGTACTTGTATGGTCGAAAGCAATGAATTACTACGAAATACAAATCTGGGAGATTTGCCCATTTCGTCACTACGACCCAACGTACCTATTGCCATAATTATAGTGCTTTGTCTAGCTTCAGACTCCATCTTCGACGAAAGAACCACTATTGAGAAAAACTTGCATGGTCAAAAGCCATAAGTTACCAAGAACTACAAACTTGGGAAATTTAGACTATCTTTGTCTAGCTTCATCTCCCTGATAAGACTCCATCTTCGACTACAGCTAGCTATCGGAAGTAGTTGGCGCTACCCGTTTCCTCCATATCTTTGCAGAATCTGAATCCAACCAGCAGTGGTGACACTATAAGTGACGACCAAATGGATAGAAATGCAAACTTCTCACTTTAATCATTCAGTGAAATTTCAGTTGTGATAGTAGAGAAATTATGGGCTACAGTATGAAAGAATTCCAAGCACATTTCAAGTAACTATAGTGGAAGTTCGCGGGGTTTCTGAAGCATCCTATTAAGAAAGCTGAAAAGAAAAGCTAGATTTTACCTCCACTAACTAAAACTAATCAAATGAGTAGAAATGCTAACTTTTAACTCTCATCATTGAGTGAGATTTGAGCCGTGATCGTAAAGAAATTATACGAGGTTATATTTTACCTCCACTAACTGTTGACATCGAAGTAGTGGGACGCCCCTGACGGCCTATTCTATCTCACGAACAATCTAAAATTATTGACGGGATATTGGGGGGTATTAGAACCACATAAGTCGAACGATAATGGGCGGAGCGAAAGAGCCGTAGGCGATGTAAATTCGGCATCGCAACGCTAATATATGACGCAAGATATAACGGCCTTAAATCAGGAAACTTTCCTGAAATGAAGGCTTTTTTTTAAACCCACGAAAGAAGAGTTGGCAGCGTCGCTTCCAACACTTGCGTATGGCAGTTTTCCACCCCCTCCACACCCCCACACTGTTTCCTCTTTATTTGTTTACGTAAGGTGAACGTAATAAGAGAAAATCCGTGTTATTTTCCTTTGAGATAAAGTGACTACACTCGGGAGGCGTTTTCCGCTCCACGCGGCGTTGCCAAACTCGTTCGTTCGGGAGATTTAATTGTTCCTTCGATACGGTATGTTTAAAATGACATTTGACGAAATTGCTAGTACACCAAGCCTCTCTGCATTTTTTCACATTACCTGTGGTTATGTAGATAGAGCAAATTGGACCCTTTCATTATTATTACATGAACACCTTGTACACGTTTGTTCCGCCGCCTACGAAAATCCGCCCCCGCAACTCAAACTCAAATCCGTGGCATTTTAAAATAAACTCCCTCGCGGGGAAAGGGGGTGATATCCGGAGAGCGAGATTGTTTTATCCGGGCCGAGAGAACAGCTGCGCTACAATCAAAATCTCGAGCGGCTTTTAATTTCCACACATCCGGCTTATTTTCGTCGATCTTGCACGTGCAACCCCCTCGGGGGCTTGTCACATTCATTAACTTATAACATCCCCCAGTCGGCGTCTCGAGAGACCGACCCCGTCTTAGTTTGCCGTCTCTCAAGTCGCGCCCTGATCCCGAGAATCGAGCATTGTTGCAGTTGTTACACAGATAAGGGACGCCGGAATTGAGGGGTGGACTTTGGTGGCGGATGCCGGAGGGGCGGCCTCTTTTTTTGCAGCGAAATCGGCGACAACGGGTCTCACATCTAACGATAATTGCTAACTGCAGTGTTCTTTTGCTTTTGGGTGTCAACAAAATTTGTTGCAGTTAAATGTCGCTAGATATATTAGCAGAAATCTAAACTTTCTGGGTTATATATTTGGAGCGGCTACTTTCTGGTAGACGAGCTAAAACGATGGAAGTACAACGTGAAGGTCAAGAGATAGATTAGCAGGAATCCAATCTTTATAATTATTTAAACGACCACCTGGTGGATCTGAATCAACAACGTAATCTCTAAAGGTAGCCTGGCACCAACATTACCAACCTGGTAACAACATCAAAATTACAAAAAAAATAACTGTGCTTCACCTCAACGATGGATAGGTGGATTGATCACCGTCTGGTAGACAAACTAGAATGTTGAACGCATCCTTTGGTGGTTGCAAACGTTACTAGATATATTACTGTAAATCTAAACTTTCTGGGCTATATATTACAAGCAGTTACTTTGTGGTAGACGAACTAGAATGTTGAAGGTAGAATGTGAAGTTCAATAGATAGATTACCAGGAATCTACTCTTTGTAATTATTTGAACGACCACCTAGTCGATCTGAATCAACAACGTCATCTCTAGAGGTAGCCTTCTTCGGCTGTCAACAACATTATCTATTTTGTTGTAACAACTTCAACATTACAAAAATAGAACTGTGCTTCTTCTACGATATATCGTTGGATTGGTTACCTTCTTGTAGACGAACTAGAACGTAGAAGGTAGAACGTAAACTTCAGTAGGTAAGTAAACAGTAATCTAAGCTTTTTGATTATTTGGACGAATACCTGGTCGATCCAAATTAAGATCCTAGTCTCTAGAGATAACGTTACCCCGTTTTTGACTGTCTGAAGGATTATCTTTCGTTCGTTCGTAACAAGGTCAATATCACAAAAGGATAACTGTGCTCTTTCTGGGGCATATAGTTGTGACTATCTGGTAGACAAATTAAAACGTTGGGTTATAGGTTCGAGTCTGTTTTGCTTTTGGTTGCCGATAAAATCTGTCTTCAATGACGGCCGTTATCCTTTGGTGATTGCTATTAGAGGTCATTAGATAGCAGAAATCTAAACTTTCTGGGATATATATTTGGAGTGGTTACTTTCTGGTAGACCAACTAAAATATTGAAGGTAGAAAGTGACGATCAATAGATAGATTAACATTAATAATTTACCTTTATAATTATATGAACGATCACCTGGTGGATCTGAATCAACAAGTAAATCATCAGAGGTAGACGGCCGCCTTCTTTGGCTGACATCTATTTTGTTCTTATAAGTTATATATATAAGTTAAGATCAGAAGAAGCCAACGGGATGATTCAGAGGAGGAATTCAGATGTTTTATAAATAGTATGGCTGTGGAAGTTTCTTAAAAAAATTAATATCGATTTTACAAAAAGATAGCTATTATTTTTCTGAACTATATGCTTGGAGTGGTTACGTTCTGATAAAACTTGAAGCTTAATAGATAGGAATTAGCATCCTGGTCCCTAGAGCTAGGATTAAACCATTTTGTTCGAAACATTATGTATTTTACAAAATACCAACATCGACTTATGGAAATATATAATTTGGTGGATTTTGCTTTAACAACGGAGAAGAATGAACTACCATGAATAATTTAGAATACCTAACCTTGATTGCACAACACATATATGATGGAAAACGGATTTTACGCGGGAAATGGCAGGTGGTAGAGTAAAACAAGTCGGTGTTCCTGAATCGCTACGATATGGGATGCGCGATTAATCATTCGGGTGTGCAGATGGAGTTGCAATCCGGCCTTTGATAATTATCAAACGCCAATCAACGAAAGTAGATATACGCTACGTTTGGAGATTAATTTATCTCCAGTGGAAGGTAGTGTGTTCGTGTCCAAATTCCATTACGCGAAGAGTAATTGATCGCTGTTTTGTTTCGCCTGCAGTTTCGACAGTTCGTCTTGCGGATTTCCAAGACGACAGCCGCCATCTTTTGTTTCAAGTGCTAAGCTGAAAGCGCGGGCATTGTCGACGCGACGAGAGACCTTGTGTTGTGATGTTTTGCCGTTCAATCCCCAGGGGATTAAAATTTAATAGTGTGTTGTAGGATTTTCGCCATGGCTAGCGCCATCTTTCGACGGGGGGTTCGATTCCATTCATTTCGGAGGAACAAAATCACCGGGCGCGTAAAAACAATCTAGAAATCTGTTGGCAACTATTTTATCGGGTTTTACAGGGGGAAACTAAAGTATAAGTATATAAGTTTTAATTTCCTGCTCAAATCATGTTTGGGTCAGAAGCTATTTTCAGTATCCTGCATAAAAAGAAGAAACACCCAAATTTCCAGTTTTGCCAATTTAGTTTTAATTTTTAATTAATTAATGCAACTTTTTTCATTCTTCCTTTCTCTATCCTTATTAAAAGCACTTACTCAGATAGTAGAGGTCCAAGCTGTCCAAGTCGTTCGGATGCCTGTCTTTGATTTCCGTGAATTTGGCCCAAGCTGAAAAAAAACCACTTTCGATCCTCCAAGCAATCGTCCGCCGTAACCCAAGAGACTCACTAGCTCTGAAGAACCGGATACAACTGTTAGGTTTCCTCCTCCCCTTCGAACTTTGACCCCTAGCCAACTGTCCCATCTCGATCCTCTCCTGCTCGCACTCTTCACTCATATTTCCACAAACACCTTCAGCGGTTTGAGGAATTCGCTCTCATCGCCACCACTTCAAAACTAAATTTAAAATCGCACGGACTGGGGTCTGGTCAATCATAAAACGCTTTTAAAAATAATTGTTTCGGCCAGTACGTATACGGGGGACGTGGAAGACACTTTTTGAACTTGGTAGTTGTGTTGCTACGGTCACCTTTGACCTCGCATGAGAGTCCAGCCTGGAGAGCAGTTCAAAATCTTCAATCTGAATGACATCGTATTAAGAATGCCGGATGAATATATATGGTTGAAGCGGACTAAGTTTTCGGAACGGCCTCGTATAATTTCGACGATTTATATATCTCCAAAGTTGAAAAAACAAGTATTGAGTTATTACCGGGAGGTAAATATTTTAGAAACAATGCTCGAGGCAAATGTAAACACGGCTATTCGCGATCGTTTACTCAGCAGTGCCATTTGTATTTGTTTTGGGCACCTCTTTTCGCTATTTACGAGGTTTGGTAAAATAAATGTGCGGATAAATTTACATCGCCCTCGTGCGGATGAGGATATTGGCCGCGATATGCGGGGCGAGGCTTCTGAGTGAATTTTTAATTGGGTCTAGCTTGGTTAGTTCTCATCAAACATCAAATTTTTCTGTGAACGTGCTAAACGTTAAATGCTTTAAAAAGACCAAGAAGATTGGTAAAAAAAGATAAAATGAAGCTAAGACAAAGAGAAAAAATAATTATAAGCTCTTCTGGGTTGGACAGCGTGTAATGTGGTATACAGGTTGTCCTAAAAGTGTTAAATTTCCTGATGGGAGAATACGCCGTTCTATTTGAATGAATCAGGTTATAGTTATTAATTCTTATAATAATAATAATAAATAGCATGACAAATTACAATAGATGCCCATATAGCACAAACACATCCGTAAAACGTCCTCAGCTAACGTACATCCTTAAGAAGTGTCAAGGGTATACGATGTTACTAATTCGAACGTTCACACTATATCAGATACGTATACGTAGGATGTTTGTTAGGACATACTAAGGATATTCAGTTATACTAGTTGAGACGTCGTTAGTATATCCGACTGTGAGCATATAGAATCTTAATACTGAAAAGGTAATGTGCAGTAGTTCAATTGATTGTACGATTACAACCATGTGATGGAATTAACATATTGGGTATGGTTGGTGAAGTCATCACACAATTCTTATAAAGATGGCGGACGACGAGACGCAGGAGAAGCCGACAAGACTCGAGCGAGTCCGGCACGGCACGACCGCGAGTGGTTGCGTCATTGATTGCAGACGAACAGTGTTGTCAAATGGTATCTTATAAAAAAATATATTATTTTTACGTTTTTGTATTTCTTTTACTTAGAAGAATTCGTATTTTCTGTGGCATTTTCATTAAAAAGTCGTTCGTGTCCAAAAAATAATAAAAGCAAGTTGATTTTAACGGTTTGATTCTGGTTTTTTTAGGACTTGCCAACACTGACGTCGATGTAGATGTGCACAAAACGTTGCCAATAAAATGTCTCCTAAAACACCACAAATTTGATAAAACTAAGTATTTGCCTTCTCAGTTGTTCAAAATTTAAGTTTTTATGTTTCATTTTGTTTTACGGTTTTTCACTTTTTTCCCTTATTTCTATTCTAATGTTCCCATTATGGTGTAAGGGGATATCAGGTCATCTATTTAGAGGATATCTGTGGTATTTATTTAGAGGATGTCCCGGGACATGCGACTTAAATGGGACATTGACCGGATATACTGGGGATATTGTGTGCTATCTGGGTATACGTGTAAGTAAATTAGGAAAACATGTAGCAAAAGGCTTGAAATAAATCGCGGCCATCCATGCAAAACCCAGATAATGTTAAAGCCTAATTTAAAAAGAAAGAAAGAATAAGTCTTATATGGTAGCTAAAAAAAGAATAAATATCAAAGATGGAACTAAAAAGGAAAAGGAGAAGAATAGGAAAAGTTGAACAAAAATGAACAAAACACTAGATACTGTTGACATTTGAGAAGACCAAACTTAAACTTATCTCTAAATGCATAGTAGGCACCACCGATATCAGACCAGTCCAGACAGTTAACTTGTGGAGCCACATTGTAAGAACATCACCTATTACATAATTCCTTTTTGTGCTGGGGTATAGTCAACAATTTCTTATTACGTAAATTAAGCTCATGGACGTTGAATCTATTATGCATGTTGAGCCAATCAGCAATTCAGCTGAGACAACAACATAGAGTCTTGTGATAAGTAGTATCCATAAGAATAGATTAGTTTTGGTTAGTTTAAGTTACCATAAGCTTTTTTCAGTTTTTCAGTTACATGGTGACGGAAACGAAGTTTAGAATGCAAGAATAAACCCAGGCATCATAAAATTGGAGGGAAGTATCATTAATTGTTAGTTTTGGTTGTTAAAAATACCTGATTTTCTGAATTTGCAACTTGAACAACTTACAGCAGCTGATAATAAGGTAGGATTTTCTACACAGGAAATCTTTCATTAATGGAATATAAAATGCGGTATATTTTTACACTTAATCGCAAATTTTGCTTACGTAACTTTTAAGTATGCGAGAAATTAACATCAGGTTACGTTTGAATTGAAGCCAATACATGCCTCGCCAGCAACATAAATATGTTTAATTTTCTGCAAAATAATTGTTAGTTTTCGGAGCACGATTAAAGCTGAAAATTCCAACGAGTATCACACACTTCGCGTCGTCGAGGGACGGGAGACGTCACCGAATTTCGGAAGGAAATTAAATTAAATAAAACGATATTGCACGCGTCTAGCAACAAGTGTGCCGAGTTGGAAACCGACTGTGTTGCGATAGCGCATACGGAGACCACGGGTCCCACTAAAAATAGCAAAATTGCGAATTACTCATTAAGCAGTTGGCACTTTGTGTACGGCACTGATGGCGCCCGATCACTTGCTAATCAGACTTCCCATTAGCGTCCGTTAAACGGGTGCCCGATCAAATAAACAAAATGCTGATCAAACGGCTCGGCTATCCGCGGCACTCTTCTGTGACTACTAAAAATATTAGTTTGACGGCGGATCTCAGGTGGCTTTGGATACAAGCCGTCCGTCGTATTTTTAGCAGAACGGACGATAAAAATTGACATTCGAAGCGGCATGGTGTTTAAGTCGGGCCGTGGTATAGGCCGGTTCTCTGGAGCATCTCTTGGAATAACTACAGTGGATATTAATAATATCATATGGGGCTGAATCAAGCAAGGTTATGTGGGTGGGCTATTTTTTCCGTTTCCGCTCCAAATTATAAATTTGTTCTTATTTTTAGGTACAAGCAAGGTTGAAAGGTCTCCAGTGTTATTTATCATCCATTCAGGATTTATATTTCGGGAACAATTCGAGGGTGCGTCAGCTGGAATTGCAGTTTACGGTAAATCAATTCTGGCCAGAAACGGACAAAGATTTAATAAAACGAAGATTTATCGCTGATCTATGGTCTGGTGGGTATACAGGCGCTTGACGATAATTCCCTCTGTGAAGCGAGCCACAAATAAAACCATATTGGACAGAATGAATAAAACTTAGAAGTTATGTTTACCATTAAAAACAGAAAACTTGATTTTCTCGGACATTACGTAACTTGAGCAGCGACGAATGCTACCGAGTTTTGCAGGGTGCATTATTTTTGTCGTGGTAAGTACCAAGACATTCTTATTTTGATGTAATATTCAGTTTGGGATTTAGGCGCAACGTCGTGCATGTTAGAATGAGCAAGCTTCCTCTCAAATTTCCAGTGCAGATTTCATAATCACTCCCCAACACAAATAATTAACTTTTATTTTAGGAAATAGTCCATATCCATAACTTATTTTTTCTATTCGCTACTCTAAAATATCCATTTATACACATCCGTTTCGTTAACCCTTGTCGGGTCACTTCGGAGATTTCCGGTACTAAAGTGTTATCAATATACTATTTGCAAAATTAATTACATTCACAATTTAAATTTAATTGCTATATTTTGAGCCCAGGCATAGAACATGCGTGTTATTGTTTGAGCGGGACACTGAGTGAAAAAACTTCGTTGTAACCCACTACCATATTCATTTTGTTTCATTTCATTTCTTAGCATGTTACAAACATATAAAATATGTACAACCAGTCATGGCAATAAAATGTAACATGGAATAACAATTTTACAATATAATATTGAGAATTGAGAATATACATAAAACATGAAGCGCTCTGTGGACATCTGGACATACATTAAAGCTGACCGAAGATTATCACAGAAACTTATCATCGAAAGCAATTATTCGAAGAGGTGCAATCATCTGACTAGTGATAGTTATTGATATCTTGAAAAAAGATTAGCTCTAAGCTGTAAAATGATTGCTTTATTAAAAAATCTTTGACTAAGTTTTTAAACCTGTCTCGGGCTTGAGTTCATTAAAAAAATTACTATATCCCCTATTGTCCCATTTTAACAAACAAAACATAAAGGAAGTGAAGAATAGAAAAATGAAGTAAAAAAAATGACTAGTTTTGCATATAATAGAAGGAACTTTGGTATAACCTACAGTGCACTCCGGCTCAATCGCCGTAGAAGATAATGTGGTCTACGGTTTTTAAAATTATTCCGACTAGATTAGTGTAAGAAGCTAAGGCTATATAGCCCCTCGAGATTAAGCTAAATCCAATCATTTGGATCATTTGTAAGATGTTAGAGTGCATCTCAACGAATCAAGCTGCAGTAGTTCAAGCGATTCAGTATCATAACTTCACAAAATCTCGAACTTATACCATTTTTACAAGATCTAATTATTACCATCTTATTGGTATGTGGACATTGAAGCAAAAAATACTTGGTGAAAATTAGGAACCGTAGATGCAACCCCAAACTTATTCTTAATACTAACAACAATAAACAAAAGAATAGCATAAACCATGCCTTCAGATCGTCAGAAAGGTTTTGTACAACAGTACATAGAAATCACTTAAAGGTATCACACTTCCACTTATCACTATTCAACAGGGTGGACAATTTTGTGTAGAATTAGTTCTTCTAAAAGGGACACGAAACATTTCGGCGAACCTGATACTAACCAAATTGAATTTTTAACAAAATGGCGGGAGCTTTAAAGCGGCAATTTACAATTTTATAAAGAAATATTATAACCCCCAACCTTCTTCTATGACTTGGGAGGACTCCAATCCACACTACCAAATGTTTTCAATCGAACGTGATTAGAAAAGGGTCAAAACGTATAAAACAAAACACCATTAATTTTCTGACATATAAGCCTACATCATATTTTTTTAAATTTAACACCCTGTACATCAGGAAAAATAGGAAATTTTTATATTATGCGGCTACTAAAATTGTCAAGACGCACTAAAGTAAAAAAATCTATAACTATTCTAAATATTACTGTATATGACCACCATTTTCCTGAACACGTTTCTGATACACTCTAATTGTATGATGTCTTCAATTTAGTAACGTTTCCGGATTGTCTCTTAACTGATTGATTTCTTCTGGAATCCTTTGTCGACGTTCCAAGACTTTATTACAAGGAGTTTTGTGCTCGTGATTTTTTATGTGTCCCCAAAAGAAAAATTCCATTAAAGTTAAGTCGGGGCTGAGATATTCCAAGTTAAGAGAATTTTTAACTTGCACAACATCGTGAGCAGGGGCACCGTCCTGCTGCCATGTAATCACCGCTGATATATTTGGGGGTAAATCTTCTATATAGTGTTCTATTTGTGGTTTAATGATCTCCAGTTAACCAGTTACCTTTTGATCTATAAATATCGGACCCAAAATATGCACACCGTACAATAATTGATTGGTACCCCTGGGTTTTTATTTCGTGTATTTGTCTAGGATTATTTAAAGGCCAATATCGCGTATTTTGTCTGTTACAACCCTCTCTTGTAGCGAACGAACTTTCAACAGTCCATAAAATGTTTTTCAAAAAATTGTTATTCTCATTCTATTTAAAAAATCCAAACAAAACTGCATCCCCTTTGACATCGTTCTGCCTTTAGTTTTTGGGATTGAGTGGATTGATCCCCGAGAAATACCTGTCTCTTCATATATTCTAGTAATAGAGGAAATTAGGAGAGCTGCGCTGCACTTTAATTATTCCGAAAGTATACTTGAAGCATATCACTTTTTTCACATTTTAACAATAATAACTTTGTCAACCATCCACGTTGCTTACTAATATGTCAAACATAAACATATTTTTATTTATCACTCAGGGCACTCTATGAACTTATATAAAAATTTCGTGTTTTTGCCGATTTGATATGATGCGGAGTTATATATCAGAAAATCGATAGTGTTTTGTTTTATACGTCACTTGGAAAACAAATAAGTTACGGCCAATTAAAATGTTATCAAGATAAATTGCACGCACGGTACAAGCCACCTAGTCGGATACGGTCCTGTTAATAAGAACCGGACGGTATCGCCGCGGAACCCATCTCCTTATGAATCACGGCTGTCAGCGGCGTTTTAGCGCCTTATGATTTGGGCAACGTACCGCCCTGGGCATGGCCCATCCCCGAGCCGAATCGCGGAGAACATACATTAATATATATCGAAAACAAACAAAAAACAAACGAAACCCGCCGTCAAATTCGGCCGACGCAGGAGGCGGCGCTCAAAATGGCCGGTTTTCGCTCGGTATTTGAATACTGCCCGGTTTGTAATTTTCGGTCGCCTCCTTATTTTTACTCCGGGAGAAGAAAAAAAGGAAACGGCGAGGCTCTCGATCGGGCAAGTAGTTGGCTAATCGGTACCAGATTTTTTCCAGTCATCAAATCATGGAGTCACATACGACGTAGTTTTTTTTACTGCCCACTGACGGAGTATGTTATACGTGCAGTCTTCCAACCCTTCGTGTGTGGTTGTCGTGGAGGTTGGCGACATTTTTTAAATGTCACCGACGGGCCTACTATAGGAAGCGTCGCCGAAGAAGATCTTAAGCTTTCCCGCTTTAACAGCGACTTTTTGCACAGCTTCAGGATATTTAAATCGTTTTGGAATTGGAAATTTGGAAATTCGAAGAATTTCAAGAATTCTGTAAGGGAATTTTGTTGACATTTGAAAAATTGCGTACACGTCTATGTATCTCCAAAATTTTGGAGAATTTAAAGCAGTGACGGGGAAAATACGGAGTGCCATATATTGACCATTTACTTATTGTTGTTGTAAAACTAGTAAATATAAGTTCGTTGGTTAAGTGCTGGAAAAGTATTTGCAAGAATTCGGGATTTAAACGACCATATTGTGAATTTTCTTGTGAATTTGAAGTTTCGGAAAACGAAACGTGACTCTCTGATTTCGCTTTTTTCACAGACCTCCTCGTACACATGAATAAACTTAATCTCAAATTGCAGTTTCTTCACGATATTTGGCAATACCTGAAGAGTTTCAAATTACGGTTATTATTATTTGCTAATCAGATCTCTAAATATGATTTTTCTCATTTTCCAAGAATGCAATCTTTAAAATTCACTATGTCAAACAGTAAGTTTAAAAAATACGAAATCATACGAAATACGAACTGAACTGTAATACTCTCCTGAAACAAGCTTTTCACACGGTACCATTACTAGAATTTTATAAAAATTTAAGTCCAAATAATTTCCGAAATCTAATATGCGAACAAATCTTCAACAAACTTCTTTAAAAAACTGAATTACAGATGAGCACCTTTCATCGGTTTGAAGAATTTCTGCTTCGCAAATGGAACCGGATTATGATGAAATTTTGATAAAACTGTCTCAATTTCAATTTTCTCATGCACCATCAACCGGTAATGACACCAGAAAATAAAGTCACTTCACATCAAGAACTACACTAAATTCATTTTACATTTTGTGCTTATAATTTTCTTACCTGTTGCTTTTTTACTATTAAAATAATGTATGTATATAAAACACATAATTTTTTTTAAAAGATTGATTGAATTGATTTAAAGGTACGGGTTTGTTCTCGCTTGGCTCTCTTGTTATTTTGGGTTACAAACGCCCATATTTTTAGATCTCACAAAGGCTTCTGATTATGTGACATGAAATTCTATTAATTAGGAATACCACATTTTATTATCCTTCAGATATTATCCATCTTGAATCCATCTAAATGTCTAAATATAAATTCTGTTTCACTGTCAGAGTTGTCATCGAAATTAATTATAACACGATTTATGTTATTTTGTATAAAAACGAGTCCTTAATTCTTATAATGTGCTGTACTGATTTTCTAGCTCTCATTTGGTGTGTTATTAATTAATTTTTTTTTATCAAATTTGGGACTTAAGAATATTTTAAGGAAATTTTGTTGACATTCGAAAAAATGCGCACAAGTCTATGAACCTGGAAAATTTTGGAGAATTTAAAGTTACGGGTTTATTCTCGCTTACCTCTCTTGTGATTTTGGGTTACAAATGCCCATCTTTTTAGATCTCCCAAAGGCTTTTAATTGTTTTACATATGAAATTCTATTGAATCAGTCGTATGTCAACAGCAACAGCTAAAGTGAGGTATACGCCAAGGTTCAGTATTATTGTGCTTTACGTAGCAGATGGCTGTGGTAGCTTGCACTCTCCATGACAATATCAATGAACATTTTTTAAAAGATTGTTTTGAAACCAATATTGAGAAAGTTCGTCACTTGTATCCTCATGATAATTCAAGCTTCTTAATATTCTTGGCAGACAGCAGCTAGCAGTTTGGAACAAATCCGTCTTCTGACCCAGCTGGTATTAGGGTGATGCGTTTTCCTTTATTTGAACGTGCTTTTGTCTGACAGGTTTGAGTGTATGTGATGCTGTCGTGTGTATCTAACCATATTTCATCAAGATAAATTTTGGATCTGTTGTCTAATGTATATCTTTTAATTTCTTGAACGTAATTTTTGTCTATTTTGAGGTACTCAAATCCCAGACCGAAAATAATCTCTCTCGGTGGTTCTTGGCTAACCAACTGTCAATGACGAATCGAAAATCAACGCTGTCCAATTTTACATTAGGAAGTATGCATTCCCAACATGTCCATTGGCTCTACTTCAAAATCAGGTAGATAGCCTGGAAGTGGCAAAACCTTGACCAAGATATTTTTATTTCATTTCAGTCTGCAGCTTCTAACTCCTACCTGTCTACGCTGGTCATTACACCAGGAATATATTTTAAAAATTAGTCCACCTTGTACTTAGTTTATTTAGGGAAGCAAAAGTTATATAACTGAATTAGATGCATGTATTCGGTTTATAGTTTATATTTTTTCCTTTTGTGGTTTGGAAGGTACATTTTCGCAAAAACAAGTATAAAATATTCTATACTTATCATTACTAAGCCGAGGGTTAGTTTTATTTTAAAATTTCTCAGGTGTATATGGGGTTGCTGCACGCGTAGTCATAGTAGGCCGCGGTATGGAGGACAACAATACGAAAGTCAGTTTTTTTCCCGCATCTAACTATCAGTACCGTCAATGTCGTCCTGTACGCAGTATATGTTCTCACAACGCCGCGACGATCATCATTTTGTAAGTGCGTTAGTTTTAATGGCGGCGTATTCGACAAATAATGGGAAAATGACCGGATTTATGACGACGGGTCACCGCAATTATCGATAATAAAAATTGTTCGGATGTCGTCGATATATGCGCGACGATATGTGCAATTATTTATATTGCCCCAATATACCGACGCTCGGTGCGTAGTTTTCGAATTCTTTCATAGGGGACGCGATGCATTTCGATCGCGGATATCCATGGACGCGTGACGAGTTTACCTCGAGGCAACCGCACCCGCGCCTCCTTTATCAAAAGAGTTTTTCTCTAAATTACCCAACCCTTGCGTCTTGGTTTCGAACATTAATCGATCCATTAAAACCCTGAGAAAAATGTAAGAGGAGAAGTTAAAATGACATCCGCTCTACACCATACCGCTTTATTAAGTTAAAGTTTACGTGGGATCCAGCGCTGTTGCCAGTTTTCTTCTAAAACTCATAAATTTGGGTTAAATCATTGTTAGCTACTTAAAAATATATACATAAAACATAAGACCTATTTTACCTGTAATTTAACTGTAACTGGGGACATGGGCAATATTAAATGTGTATTGTTTATACGCAATTTCCCGCAATTGTCCTATTTTGCAAAATGTCTATGGACACCGTTTTTCCATATATATATGCTTTTTATTTGAAATCTTATCTATCTATCTTACCTTATGTATTAAATATTTTTTAAAAGCTCTTTACAAGCCTAACAAAATCATTGTTTTCTATTAAGAAACCAATCAAAATTTGTGAGTTTTGGATACTGGTATAGTCTGTCTCAATGTTCATCGTGTTGGTTCTCGGAGGACCCTTCTCAGTAAAATATTAACGATGTTATTATCTATTGTTATTGGGTAAAGCTATTAACAAAAAATTTATTGTTATTTGAGTGACAAGGCAGAGGTGGGCCACGTATATTTCTTTCTTTCTGATATTTTTTTTTGAGAAGCTTTAAAAAAAAACTGTCTACTTAAAAACGCCAATATCGTGGACAGCGTAACAGGACCTAATAAGAGAGAAAATGTATTGTCTTTATGAAAGTAAAATTGTCTGTAAAAGTACCTCAAAAATGACAAAAGGCTTTACTTATTTGGAGATTTAATTACCTTAAAGAAATTAAAATATATACAATATACAAGAGATCCATAATTTATCTCGATGAAACATGGTTCGATACACACGACCCTGTATGCAAAGGATGTGTTGATTCCACTCAGAAGTATATGACGAAAGCACCTTCAAATTAAAGGCACGAGGAATGCAAAAGATTTGTAAATAGTATCACAGTAGCATGTGGAAGTTTCTTTGAAAAAAAAACAATATCTTGTCTCTCCGATGCTTCGCCAAAGCTTTTGGGATTTCGTTTTTGCGTCGCATGTGAAGATCAGAGGAGTTTGCTAGAACAGTTATTCGGTCTAACAATAAGTGATATAACGCCATAAATAATACGGTGATTGTTATATTTACAATAGCTGAGACTTTAATTTCAATAAGTTAACAACCTAATTTTACGTCCGCAGCATCCTCTGGTGTTTTGCAAATGATCAGGACCTAATAAGAAGGAAAATGTACTGTCTTTATCAAAGCGAAGTTTTTCCTATCTTAGATAAATCGAAAAGGAAGCTAACAATATAAATATAAGCCATGCCACCCTCCGTAAAGTTGTTTGCAAAATTTGATTTAAGTACCGCAAAACCGACAAAAGGCATCATACTTATTACCTACTTGGAGATTTAATTATCTTCAAAAAATCAAAATAGACAACAAATCCATAATTTAACTCGATGAAACATGATTCGATATACACACGACACTATATCCAAAGGATGGGTTGTTTCCTGCACCTTCAAATAAAGGAAAACGCATCGCCATAATACACGCTGGGTCAGAAGACGGATTTGTCCCAAACTGCTTGCTGTTGCCTGCAAAGAATATTAACGATTCTAGCTTGGATTATCACAAGTGCCGAACTTTTTGAAAATTGGTTTCACAACAATCTTTTCAAAAATTTTCCGAATAAGATTGTGATTGTCATGGATAACGCAGGCTACCACAGCCGTCGGCAGGTAACTTCCACAATTGCGGCCAAAAGCCAGCACGATAAAGGTTGAGACACACACTAAGTGTAAAAAAACCCATACCAGTTTTCACCTTATCGTTACTTTATATAGGAAAACTGTATGAGAAGGAAGTTACCCGCCCTTGAGTGTGGAGAAAGAAAAAGAAAGGAGAATTGCAAAAATGTTTAAAACATTTACATGACGTCGAGAAATTGTAAAAATTAAAAAACCTGGTAGTGGATTATTGATTGTTTTCTGCTTTCTTTTTTCATAAATAATGACAGTTAACCTTTTTCCTTGAGAATTCTTCTTTATTTTGTTTACCAAGATGGGCCCGTCTGATTCGGATGTTTTGTAAAATAAAATCGGAGTTTGAAAAGTTATTAAAATTTATTATTCTGAGTCTCCATTGGGACACCAAGTCTAACTTTGCAAATGCCGAGGCGGATAGCGATAAAAAGTTCCATGAATGGCGGCGATTCTCGAAAACCCGGGGCCCCGTTTCACGGACGTATTACTATTTTTCGATGTAATATGAATTATTTTCGGCGAAATTCCGACTGAATTCCACGAACGGCGTGAATTTATCTCCGTGTTTTTCGTGGTATCATTTATACCGGGACCGCCCGGCCAAAAACCGAGTAGCAGGGCGCGTGCGGACCGCACGATCGGATCGGTTTCAAAAATTGTGTGTGACTGAATTCTGAAAAGATCATAAAAAAGTACTTTCGACAGTACAAACTTAAACACTAAAAACTTATACTAGAATACTTAGTCACATGTTCTGGTGACCATGAATCCCAACAAGATTTATATAAATTAAAATTAGAGTAAAAATATATCTTTCGAATATTGAATTTGTTGCAATGATTTCAGGAATATGTAATAGTATATAAGTATAAATGAAAAATGTTTTCATCCAATTGATAACGTTTTCTTCAACACTCAAACTTCCAAGAACATTTGGTGTTCACAAAAACTGTTGAGAATATTTGCAAATACTGTTGCGAATGTATTAGATAACAAACGTTTCCTTAAGACCCTTGAAGAATAATATTTGTGCTCTCAAAGTTGCATGGGTACAAAGTCGTTCAACAGTTTTCAACTAGTCTGTTCTGCAGCAACTTGGCACCAAAACCGACTACATCTGTATCATTCATTTTATTACTTTTACATAAGTTTGTTCCTAACATGAATTTCTATTTAGTATTTTGTGATAGAATATTGTAATAAACATACCAGCATGTAAATACTACGTGTGGATTTGTTACTAATAATGAGAAGGATGCAGATCTTTGGGTAAAGAAAATAAACTTACCCCTCCAGCTTTTGGGAATGACGTCCATGAAATGCACAGATATATTCAGGCATACTTTAATAAGCAGCAGTTGACAGGTATCCACCATAATCTCGCACCACTGCGATTCACAAATTAAAGGCATTCCAGATGTGGCTCTATCCCAGAATTCTTGAGATGCATTGGACGGCTAAATTGGTAACTGAAGAAATTCTGTTTGAACTAATTGGGTAGTGGAAAAGAGATGAGGCATATCATGAAAACAAAAAATATCTATTCCTACACCATCCGATAAAGGTAAAAATCAGCAGAAAAAGCAGCACGTATTTTTTCAGGAACTTTATTCCCAGAAAGATATCAAATAAACATGTATTTCAATAATTTTAATTTAATTTACTCGATATTCCTATAAATTGTATTATATATATATATATATATATATATATATATATATATATATATATATATATATATATATATATATATATATATATATATATATATATATATATATATATATATATATATATATATATATATATATATATATATATATATTCTCACGTATTGATTCATGGATGGAAAAATGTGATGACACTATATTCCTGGTCAGAACTCGCTAAATGCTTTGCGCTTTTTTATAATAGACCTATTTGTACAGCCGGTGAAGGCTCTTTTGTTATTGTGTTTTTTGGACAGCCATTTATTTTGTATTTGTACTTGAGGTTCTATAAGCTTCATAAGTTTTGGATTTCCTTCTATAACCTAATAAAATTGTTGTATATTAAATTTGCTGAGTTGCCTTTGAAAGTATATTGTAACATATAATTCAATGATCAAATGAACTTACCTGGTAAGTGAAGTTCGATCGTAATTATTCGTTACACCTCTTCGTAGAAATCACCCACAATTTTGCCTTTGGCAAAATTTTTATAAACGAGCTTTAAAATAGAATGAAGTTACGACCATAGATGGCGAGTATACCAAGTATAGTAAGTTATTTCACCGTTTTTTGGCTCTGCCTTTAAGCTGTGGTGCCACCTAGCTACTGGAAGGGGGCTACGTATATTGATTTCTACGAAGAGGTGTAACATATAATTACTATCGAACTCCACTTACCAGGTAAATTCGTTTGATCATCGAATGATTGTGACGTTTAAATTTTAACATCAAATTAATTAATTAGATAATTTGATATTGTCCTGTTATTTGCTATTGCAGGTTAATGCAACCATTAACAACACATGAATTTACCATTTACAAAAATGTTTGCTAATTAAGATCAGCAACAACAGCCAAGATATATGGGAGTAAACAATCGGTTAACCCACAAAATAGCAAAAAGGTTAGAAAATATGAGAAATAAATGTATACAATCTTTTTCGGCCATTAGTAATCACGTGTTTGACAAAAAAAAACAATGCCCATTACTACCCCTCTCTAAATAAAATTTGCCTAACAAAATCCATATGGCTCGAAAATCTTATATTACGTCCGCTCCCGCTCGTGCGTTCGGGACGCGCCCGCGATAACAAAATGGACCTT